ATTTGCCACTGATGATTCAAACGTGAGTTTTGAGCAGTGTAGAGTAGCACTTGTTGTTTGTCATTTCTCTGATCACAAATGCAGACATGGTTTTATGTTTACGCGGCGCGATGCAACGCAACGTGTAAAAAGACAGTATAAGTCATTATAATCAGTAATTATGTCCCCACTGGATGCAACAAATGCCATGTTTATAATGGGTTTTAATGTTTTTGTCTCATAGTCAGGGCATCACAGTATGGGGTAAGGGGCGTAACATTTCTGTCACACGCTTGAGTTATTCGGCCAATCACAACACACTGGATAGCTGGCCAATCAGAGCACACCTCGCTTTTCAGACCGATGAGCTTTGTAAAAATCGACACGTTTCAGAAAGGCGGGGCATAGAGGAGAAACAATAATGTACAGTATGTGGAAAATAATGTGTTTTTTGACCCTTAAACCACATAAACACATTTCATTACACCAAATAATGTTCTTTTTAGCAGCATCATATGACCCCTTTAACATTTTGAGTTTCATGGTCTACTCATCCAGACAATCGCTCTCACCGTAGTTAGTTTTGATCTTGTCCTCCGTCAGAATGCTGCTGATGGTTTTGCCCTGATGCTCCACCACGCAGCTGAACTTGTTGTTCTTCAGCTCATCAGGTGTAACTGTGATGGTGCTCGTCACCTGAAAGGTCCCGTCCTCATTGGGAATAAGTTGTCCAAGAACCACATCCTCAATATGATCTTGTCCGTTTCTCATCCAGCTGATTGTTACTCCACTGGGGTAAAAACCTGTAGCATGACACGAGACTGAAGACGAGGAAGACTTCTGCAGCAGAGACACCTGAGGAGAAACTGAGAGAGAGAGAGAGAGAGAGACAAAACTGACTTTTTAGACTTTTTTATGTCTTAAATATTTTTCTTGTTTCTTGTTTGTGGGGAAAAAAATAAGAAAGTATACATGTACTTATTTACTTAATTATTTTACAGATCTATTCTTGTTTTGTTTATGTATTATATAATCATTTATTCCTTATTCATGCAATGGACAATGCTTTGGCAATACTGTGCAAGTCATGCCAATAAAGCTCATTTGAATTGAATTGAGAGAGAGAGAGAGAGAGAGAGAGAGAGAGAGAGAGAGAGAGAGAGAGAAAGAGCGAGAGAGAGAGAAAGAGAGAGAGAGAAAGAGAGAGAAAGAGAGAGAGATAAACATATTAAGATAAACAAAAAGAAACAGTGAAACCGAAAGAGAAAATTAGCCATAGTCTGCAACATTCAAATAAAACAAAGCAAATCTATAAGGTTGCTGTATATTTCTTCTCATTATCTGTTGTTGTAGTCCTGAGATCACATCAAGAGCTTTTATCAGCCAAATAATCGGTTATTAATCCGACTGACGGCTCAAGCAGATTGAAAAGCTTTGATGCAAACACCTCAATCGATCCGACTGAGCTGGATCTGAAGGATATTTCAATCAGGATAATAAAAGGGGTGGTGTAGACCTAAAATAATCTGATCAATTAATAAAAATAAATCAAGCATCTTCTCAGAATGAAATAAACCTTGTGAATATGTGCAGTGCCATGAAGCGTATGTCTATCAAAGCCCTTTTATAGATCTATTTACATGTTTTACTTCTTATGAATGTGCAAGTTTATTTATATCTTACAAACTGGTCAGTGAAGGAGACTGAATATTTAATCAATATTTCCTAAAAAAACCCAGCTCTGACATATTTGTCAGCTTTCCTTTTAGGTATGTCATCAAGACAAAGATCACAGTTATACTTCAGTGACATTATAGCATTTATTTCTAGCGGTGTCTGATGCACTGCGCATGAGCTGACGTTTTGTTTGAATACACAAATGAGAATTTCAATGAAAATGTGAATTGGATTGCAAAGGGTTTGGATTCGTTCAGATTGACAACAATGAGTGCATGTAAACATATCCATCTTTTAGATTATTATTCTAATAGGGTTTGACTCCTGGCCTCATGTTTGTGTGAAAATCAGTTGGTCTAGTGTTACTATATGATACAAATCCCTCATAAATACCTGCTACGCATGTTAATATACAACAACATGTAAGAATATGCATGATTATATCTTAAATATCAAAATGTGATTCGAACAACCTCTTGACGTCCTGCATGCATTTACATCATGTTTTAGTTTTTAAGCAAGTGAATGCAGAGTAAAAAGACAGGGAGTGGAAAGGAGATACAGTCACATATAACCAAACGTTTTATTGTATACAGCTGTTTTATTTCCTGGTGAAAAGGTAAATGCTGTAACGATGAATGCTCACTATGCAGTGATTATTAAAGCAACTGATATTCCTACCTTTTCTCTCCAGAGTGTCCTTCCCATAGCTCACATACTTCTGCAGCCACTCTATGCATGTGTTCTCCAGATATCCTTTATTGTACTCTCCAAAGGCTTTATCAGCATCCCATTTATGTTTGGTAATCATAGCTTGATCTTTAGCAGCGGTCCAGGTGAGGGTGCTCTTATCAAAGCTTACATAGTCCTCTCCATCATAACCATACTGCCAGTATCCTCGTTTGGTGCCATCATCATTCAGCTCACAGCCACACATCATCTGCCACGAGTGAACACCTGAGAAGAGAGAAACATCATGATATATCACACTCACCATTCTTCATCTCTTCTAATATCACCTAAAGACTTGATGATTGAGCAGAATATATTCCAATCTTCTTCTTCTACACAAAACCAAACATCCACATAAAGATGAGAGCGATTGTGATTAGCTAACAGGACTGGCTGGTACTAAAATAAACTAGCATTCAGGAGAAGTGAATAGATGAATATGATTGCATATAAACATGAAAACGTTTGTCTGAGTTCACAGCATTAATATATCTGACAGCTGAAGGTTATTCAGTTGAAGGTGAAAGTAAGACTCGACACAGAAACAGTGTTCAGTGCTGCTGCTGATTAAACATGAGCATAATAAACATGTATGAGAGAACATGGCTACAGATGGTATACTGAAAGAACACAGATCAAGTTTTCTCTAAATGTGTGTTTTGCTTCTAAACGTGTGCTACGGTCGCTCTGAGGAAAGAACGTGTCTGATGTCTGATATCTTTACAGCAGCACATTTCAATACAATGATCGTGATATTCATCTGTTTATTTCTGTTGATCTGTAAATAACTCCAATCAGCAGTGTAGAGGAGAGATCGCTCTGTCTGAGTAATGTGGAGCCGCCACACAGAGACACAGAGACGAAACACGCTTGATGTCATGAAGATCCTGTGCGTCATAGAAAATGATTCTTTGAGAAATCAGCAGATCAGTTCATCTCATCTAAACTCTGTTTCACTGTTTCTCCTCTGTTTCTGAAGCAGAACCAGTTCATTTCTAACAAAAGAAGAACTAGATTAAAAAGATATTAAAAGACAAACTTTATGTTGCTTGAGAAAGCAGTTTAAAGCTTGAAGTTTGAGGAAGATTTAAATTTGATTCGCTTTTAAAAGCTTGAAGTTTGAACACCGAAAATGTAACTTTATTTTATATTCAGTAAAATCAATGTAATATATTTATATTTGATAATATTTTTTCTTTTTTCTTTTGTATTTTGAGAGAATTTCATGGTACTAATGAATATTTATGCAATAATAACGATCAATTTTTCCATTGAAAATAATTTTTAATAATTCTAATATTTTCATCTCATCTAAATTCACAGATTTGACTTTTTCTCCTCTGTTTCTGAAGCAGAACCAGTTCATTTCTAACAAAAGAAGAACTAGATTAAAAAGAAATAAAAAGACAAACTTTATGTTGCTTGAGAAAGCAGTTTAAAGCTTGAAGTTTGAGGAAGATTTAAATTTGAATCACTTTTAAAAGCTTGAAGTTTGAACACCTGAAATGTAACTTTATTTTATTTTCAGTAAAATCAATGTAATATATTTATATTTGATAATATTTTTTCTTTTTTATGATGTAGTTTGAGAGAATTTCATGGTACTAATTAATATTTATGCAACAATAACGATCAATTTTTCTACTGAAAATAATTTTTTTTAAATTCTAATATTTTCATCTCGTCTAAATTCACACATTTCACTTTTTCTCCTCTGTTTCTTAAGCAGAACCAGTTCATTTCTAACAAAAGAAGAACTAGATTTAGACTTAAATCTGAATCACTTTTTAAAAGCTTGAAGTTTAAACACCTGAAATGTAACTTATTTTATTTTATTTCACTTGTAAACTTTGGTTCTGACCACAGTAGTTCTCAAGCAAAATGGAGGAGCGGCTGCTTATTGCTGTGGCGGGTTTCCCAATAATCGACGACGTGTCCCTGTTTGCGTACAGGACATAAATAAATAAAAATGATTCGAGGACCAAGGTGTCTGAGATTGTAGGTGCTCCTGGTGAGTTGCTGATGTGCATTAACGGTATAGGAATAATAATCTAATGATATAATAAATAATAGTCCCAGTTCACTTTTAAGTAAAAGCAAAAAAAAAAGTAAACCTTTAAATCAATTTTCCTGATTATACTTACATTAAGTAATGTTTATACCTGATTATACTTAAGTTACATTTTCAAAACACGCGGTTTTAGCGAGTTACCTTGTAAACGTAGTCTTAAATGAGTTATAAAGTCTTAAACGACCGTAAAGAGTTGTGAGAAAATCAGATATGTGTCAGATCCACGTCAGATGCATCAGGTTTTAAAGAGACAGCGCTGATTTTACAGTGAAGCCCGCTGAAGTCTGTCACTGATGTCAATCAAAGCAAAATCCTTGGACTGTTCTAGTCGCTGATTAACCTTTATAGCTTGAATACAGATTAATATGTATAGTTTATGCATATATAATATAGTTTATGTGAAGATTGTTTTAAAATCACTTAAATTAAAAGTTGTTATATATTTCAGAGCCTATTAAATGTTAAAAAACAATGGCTTTTAATTATACTGTAATGTTGAATGGCTATAATTAATAGGGACAATTGAGGGAAAATGCACCAGCAGGACAAATTAAAAACATTGTAAATATGTTTAGTTATTGTAGTAGTAATAACTGCCTGTTTTTGCTAAAAGAGTTTCATGGCCAGTAAATATGATCATGTTTTGGCCAGTAAATATGATCATGTTTTGGCCAGTAAATATGATCATGTTTTGGCCAGTAAATATGATCATGTTTTGGCCAGTAAATATGATCATGTTTTGGCCAGTAAATATGATAGTTTCATGGCCAGTAAATATGATCATGTTTTGGCCAGTAAATATGATCATGTTTTGGCCAGTAAATATGATCATGTTTTGGCCACTGGCAGGGGCGGCAAAAAGTTAGTTTTAGGCGCTGTGCGGGACCATACTCTCAGCGGCACGGAAATAACAAGCCCATACTGCTCAAAGCGTTAAAAATAGAAAAACAGCTGCAATTTCATGTTTAGCCACTAGATTTCTATATAGCTCTATATACAAAGGCTATACATTCTCTAGTTGTTTTAGACGTAAATGCTTATTTTATTGTAGATTGTACACACAAAACATTATCTGTATTTTCATATTTTTGCGTATTGCCCATTCATTTGCAGCAGTGTGACTTCTTTTTTTTTTATGACCATTTAGCTTTTTTCGAATCAAGTCCACAATTTATATATTTTTTTGTGGTCACATGACGACTGCCATAAAAGTCGTCGAGTTTTGTACCGTTCCGACGAAGAAGCGATTTAAAAAAAAATTCAAAACGTTTGTTTCGGTCTAAAATGAGGCTCGGCTAGTTTGTCGGCTTCGAAGCCTCGGTTGAGATTGTGAGGCCGCAGAACTGGATCTGAAGCTGGATTTGTGTGGTTTTGTCGACTCTAAACCTGCTGTGAAACTCAGAGTCTGTTGAACCGGCGTCGAGCGGCAGGCGCTGAAGTGTTTGAGTTGTTTGTCCGTGTGACGGAAACACGAGCATCAGAAACGCTTCATAACATCTGTCTGGCAGAACTGAGTGTTCGGCTTCATCTGCAGCTCTCGCTGTGATCAGACGCTTCACGATTCATGTTTTCAACTCTTCACTGAAGTCACCGTTGTATTCCTGCAGTATTAAACAGCATTTAAATGTCACTGAAGGTCAGAGGTCAGCGAGTCTAACAGAGTCTGTCAGTGTGTTTGTGTGTTCAGTCTCTCAGAGACTCAGAGCATCTGCAGGCCGGGTTTGAGCTGCTCTGTTTGAGGAAAGACTCGTCACAAACTTCCCATCATCCTCCACACGTCTCTACAGCTTCAGCCGTCAGAGCTGCTGGATATTTACTCTCTGAACGACTGACTCAGAGAGAAGAACGGCTTGAGTGTGTTTCGTCTACAATGTGAGGATCAAACGACTCAACGAGGACAGAAACACCTGAGATCACCTGCCGACAGTCCTCAGAGAAAACTAATAAACGCACTAAATCATGCCTGAACGAGAAGGTTTGTGTGAGGGGGTTGTTTGAAGATAAAAGTATCATTAGCCCTGAATAAAAGTAATAGACATCAATGGCATTAACCACCGATCAAACTGATGGCTGACAGCTGTTCCTCATCCTCCACCTCTGTTTCTGTTTCTGTTTCTGTTTCTGAAGCAGAACCGGTTCATTTCTGACAAAAACAGAGACATTAGCCGAATGCTTGATGAGGTTTGGTTCAGTCGGCTCGTCTTGCACTGATGCTGACAGACACTGAACGGTCTCTTCCCGTTTCTTCAGGAATTTCGGCTGTGCAGGATCGTGGCATCTTTGAATATTCATTGATTATTTTGGTGAATGACGTGAAGTTGAGCGTTACAGCTGGCGGACGCGTCTATGTGCTTGGCGCATCTACCTGTACATATCTACGGGTATAACACTATGTGAAGGTGGTTTATGAGGACACTTCCTGTGTCCCTGTAATTCAAAAGGCTTTAAAAACATACTAAATGCTGTTTTTTTGAAAATCTAAAAATGCAGACAGTCTCCTGTGAGGGGTAGGTTTAGGGGTAGGGTTGGTGTAGGGCAATAGAATATACAGTTTGTACAGTATAAAAACCATTACGCCTATGGAGAGTCCCCGTAAACCACCAATACCAACATGTGTGTGTGTGCGTGCGTGTGTGTGTGTGTGTGTGTGTGTGTGTGAGAGTGAGTGTGTGTGTGTGAGAGTGAGTGAGTGTGTGTGAGAGTGTGTGTGTGTGAGAGTGAGTGAGTGTGTGTGAGAGTGTGTGTGTGTGAGAGTGAGTGAGTGTGTGTGAGAGTGTGTGTGTGTGAGAGTGAGTGAGTGTGTGTGAGAGTGAGTGTGTGTGTGTGTGTGTGTGTGTGAGAGTGAGTGAGTGTGTGTGAGAGTGAGTGTGTGTGTGTGAGAGTGAGTGAGTGTATCTGTTTACATTTGAATGTTTTGACAGTTGGAGTGTCAGTTGGCGTTTGAACAGATTCTGCCGTTTGAAGAAAATCACAGCAACGGCTACTTGATATTGATTGAATGTAAATTTGAATCACTTTTAAAAGCTTGAAGTTTGAACACCTGAAATGTAACTTTATTTTATTTTCAGTAAAATCAATGTAATATATTTCTATTTGATAATATATATATATTTTTGTTTTTGTATTTTGAGAGAATTTCATGGTACTAATGAATATTTATGCAATAATAACGATCAATTTTTCCACTGAAAATAATTTTTAAAAATTCTAATATTTTCATCTCGTCTAAATTCACACATTTCTCTTTTTCTCCTCTGTTTCTGAAGCAGAACCGGTTTATTTCTAACAAAAGAAGAACTAGATTAACAAGATATTAAAAGACAAGCTTTATGTTGCTTGAGAAAGCAGTTTAAAGCTTGAAGTTTGAAGCAGTTTTAAATTTGAATCACTTTTAAAAGCTTGAAGTTTGAACACCTAAAATTTAACTTTATTTTATTTTCAGTAAAATCAATGTAATATATTTCTATTTGATAATATATATATATTTTTGTTTTTGTAGTTTGAGAGAATTTCATGGTACTAATGAATATTTATGCAATAATAACGATCAATTTTTCCACTGAAAATAATTTTTAAAAATTCTAATATTTTCATCTCGTCTAAATTCACACATTTCTCTTTTTCTCCTCTGATTCTGAAGCAGAACCGGTTTATTTCTAACAATAAAAGAGAAATTAACTGAATGCTTGATGACGTTTGGTTCGTCTTCCACTGATGCTGACAGACACTGAACTGAAATACTGACAGTGTTTCTAAACCGCTCAATCTACAGCTACACAGCAACAGAACTTATTTTTAACTGAGATGTGAGTTTATCATCTGAATTTATTACGATGAGAGAAAGACTGTTTGCTGTGAGATAACACAGAGACGATAAACAGACATGATTTCTCTTGTGACGTCCTCGCTGGATGAACACGACAGCAAACATGCTGTAATCAGTGTGAACTGACTCACGAATCAGTGACTCTCTGAATCATCCGTTTGACTGAATCACTCGCTGAACGAATCGTCGACTGAGTCTCTGCAGCGGATGTCATGTGATTTTCATCTCGGCCAATCAAACTGAAGCATGAGCTGTTTCTGTGTATTTCAGGTTTGTAATCAGTGACGTTTCTGACTGGATGTTAAAGACACACATTAGGAAGAACGTCCCTCTCGGTAGAAACTGCGCTGAAACAGTGTGTTGCGTGGCATGTCTAGGATGTGTGTAACAATACGTGTGTGTGGATATCTGTGTGTGTGTTCTGCTGTTTTAACACCTTTTTGCCCAAACTGAAACATACAATGCTTGAGCCATAAATATATGACTAAATTGTAAAAGTGTCCCAATGTGAAATATTACAAATATCACTATACAATAAAAAAGACAAAAGTGAATATTTCTGTCCTTAGTGGATGTTAGTGTTTATTTAGCAAGCACATCTTTATTATCGATATTTCACTGGCAAGTAACTAATGGCTTTGTCTCTGTCTGTGTGTGTGTGTGTGGGTGTGTGTGTGTAGGTGGGTTTGTTACCAGCGTACCTGCTGACTGGTTGAAGCGTCCCTTTAGGGTCTGGATGTCGACTTTGAAGGTTGGATGTGTGCCAGTGAAAGTCTGAGTCACTCCGTCCCAGTAATCTGCTTCCACATTCTGTCTGATCCACTCTGTCTTTGGCACAGTTCTCTTTGTGTTGCTGTCAAAGTACGTAAACTGCTCTTCATCTACCAGACCAACCGCTGTGAACTCTGGGAAGTCAATGTCTCCAGACACACCAGTGTAGAAGTATCTCAGAGAGTGTGTTCCTGTGGACAGAGATAGAAACATAATCTCCACGTAAAGCCTGTTCAAAATACACACTTTAAGAGTTACATCAACACTGAAATTCACAATTAGGCTATATTAAAATAATCCATGCCATAGCAGGTGAAAACAGTTACCTATGTTGCAATATTTAAATCGACTAACAAAAAAAGAAAAAAAGAAAAATGTCACCCTGATAAAGCCAACAAAAGGACTGTAGCTTTAGTTGTGTACTGTCCGTGTAAATATGATCATATTCCAGATCTTCCTAACTTGCCTAAATTTACATTTGAGACCTTGTCAGTTATTGTACTATTTTTAATTAAAACAATATTTACTCATAATCAGTCTTATTGGTCAAGTGTGCTAAAACACAGAAGTCATTTAGATTCCGGTCGCTTAACAAATATATAACACAAGAAGAGAGATAAAAACTCTCATATCTAGACGCAGTAAACTCTGGATATGGGTTATCTACAGATAACAGATCACTTCAGACAAAGACAAACGTAAGAAGAACAA